CTGGTTCAGCTCCACCAAAAAGGCATCTTCCGTCTCTGGCAAAGGCCGAAAAACATGATCTGCCATCATCTCAGTATCCTCTTCACCACCTGCTGCATGAAGACCCACCAACGAGAACACAACAAGCAAACGAAATTCCCCCCCCGAAAAAAAAAACAACAGAACTGACATATTCAGCAAATCAGCTATATGTTACAACGACAAAAAAGAAAAACAAAACAAAACTCATCCACAACCACAAATTAAATCAAAAAAAACAAAGAAAAGAATCAGTAAAGCTCCGCCTCCAACGCAAAATTCCAAATATTGCTTCTGCAGCATCAAAGACCTCTGGGCTTCGGCGAACGTCCAATTACGCTCCAATCCACTGGCTGCGTTGCCTTTGATTCCCAAATCAATCCTCGCATCCGGAACACCTCCCAAACCATTCACAAAGTCACGCAAACGCTGCAACGCATCCTGCAACACCGCAGCTACATGATTGTTTGTCGGTAACATATGTTCTCGTCAACAAGGCCATATCACAAAAGCTCGGTACCACATACTGGTGGTCATGGAACGTATCATATCCTTTTAGTAGACATTTTCCACACGGATGACTACTTACAGCTTGCTAGCATGATGCAGCAAACAACGCATGTTGCAACACAAGGCATATCATGCTTTATTCGGCACATCTCACACCCGCTGAAAGATGAATCATCAACAACGTTACACAACAACAGCTTAGTACCATGATGCTGCGAAAAACATATATCATCTCCTTTTATCAGGGAAATTCCCACGAACATCGCCCAAAAAGCTCGATACCATGTCCTGCAATACAGATGGCTTTCGATTGCCCAACACCTTCATCCAATCCTCTTCCCGAAACATAGCTTCGTGCAATGCTTCTCCATCCACCGGCCACTGCGCACGTTCCAAGTTGCCCAAGTCTTCTTGCAATAGCAGATCATCCTCGACCTCGTGTCCTTCTATAACCGGCGGTGCCGAATCATCTTCCAGGTCCTCCTCCTTGTCCAAAGCAGTCATCAAAGCATAACGCTCAGCTGTCCGACGACTGCTGCTGAGACGACGTGCAGTACAGTGCTGCTGGAAACGCTCCAACCACGATGTCTGAATATAGGCCAAGAACTCTTGCGATGTCAACTGAGTGTAATGAAACGGAACGGACAAGTCTGCGAACCAGGCAACGCGCTCACAGATGCGCAGCATGTCATGATAGCGACAATCCGCTCCTTCTGCTCCACCGAACAGCTTCTCCAAACATCTAAAAGCACTGCTGGTGTCACCAATGCCAGCAACATAGGAACGCACTGATGCAACATCCCGGATGACCGGAGCAGACAAACCGGCCAAAACTCTTTCCTCCGCCAAACACCTCCTCATTGACTTGTAACTTTTCCAGTGCTTCCAATGCAGCGTAAAACGAGCAAAAAGAACGCCTTGCTTTGCATCTTCTTCCATGGTGTGGCAAGCAAAGCATCGATGTGACAAACTGCAATCTCCAGAACACGTTGGGAATGGAAAAGATAATCCCAACATGTGAGCTGCGTACTTCTGCACCTCAGCATCCTTCGGAAGGTGCAAATCTGAAGGCACCACAACACTGTCATCTGCTGCTCTCACTTCCTGCGAATTTCAGCTCAACACAGAAATAAACAACTTCACCCGAACTTGTTAACACTTTCCAAATATCAAACTTAAAGACACCAAACAAAGTAAGAACGAAAAAAAAAACAGAACCACCCACCGCAAGCAATCCTGAACGGAGGAACTGAAGTGGGCATAGTGCTCATCAAAGTCGAAAAACTTCACTCCATCCACCTTGCCGGCTTTGTTCCTCGAAACTCTGCGAACGAAGCGAGAATACATCAAAAGAGACATGCATTGCAACAAAACCGAAGAGCCCCTGTGCAAGTAATCGTCTTTCTGGTTGAAGTTCACATGCACCTGCTGGACTCTAGGCACATCACCTCCCTCATCAACAACCTCCGCAAACTCATCCACCACCACTGGTGCCTCTCCTTCGGGGTCAGGAAGCACATCCAAGGGCGAGCCATTGAGATGCGGCCTAGCTTGCAAAACCTCCTCCATGTCCTCATGTCTGCAACGCATGATTGCATACGGCACATAGCGGAAGAACATGTTGTAGCCACGATACGTCACCAGTTGCTCCTGCTCGAATAACATCTGATACGCCATTTCGCCGTTGGATTTGGCCACACAACGATTCATTCCAAAGGCAAGTCTTCTCAAAATCGTCAATGCACGCCTCTGTTGCCCTGTCATAGTAGGGTCCCTGTCCCCCTCCAGGGGCTCCTGCTCGGAGGCCGCTGCAGCTTCCTTTGCCCTTTCCCTTTCCTCCTCTTCCAATCGCTGCACTCCTTCAATGTTGCCGTTTACTGAGAACCAAATTAAGGCACACACCAAAAAATAATCTATACCATCTCATTTCATTGTAGGAATTCCCATACAAATCCTCAAAAAAGGAGTCGGTATCGTGATGTTCCAAATCAGATATGTTACATTACTTTACTAAGGACATTTGCACAAAATACTGCAAAACAAAGTCGGTAAGAAAAAATATCGTCAAAAATTTCCGTTTCGACCGCCCCGAAGCAAACAGTCCTGCATACAATTCAGGTAACATACTCCGCGAAATTTCAAACTTCTTTGCAGCATACTCACCAGTGTAAAAACCAACATTCATCATATCTCTTGCAAGGTCCACCAGAATGCGCTCAAGCGCCTTTCTCATCGTCTGCATCTTCTTATGCTCCGTGTCCAAAACACGACCCATGCATTGCTTCTTCGGCGGCGGATCCGAAGCATCCAACTCAGTCGACACAGGTTGCTCTGCATGTGAGGCATCAGCACCCGATATAGCATCCGAAGACGAACCAAGCGCCGGGCGTTGAAGTTCCATCTCCTGCAATCCACTCCCGGACAGTTCCAACAGAGAAGATGCAGAAGCAGGAACTTCGACTCCAGGCTCCTGGTCTATGCTCCCATCACAAAACTTCAAAAGGTCTGCTTCTGAAAAATTGCGTCCAATGTACTTGACATCCACATTGCATCGCATCACTGCTTGCGCCACCGGGTTCGACATCCCTTCAAAAGGGTGATCACGCCGAGCTTGAAACACATGCGGGTTTTCGTTTTTGAACTCTTCAACCTCCTTCAAATCTACTGTCTCATATTGCAACCGAGAAAAACCTGCTTTCGCAACTCGAGGCCAACCTTTCCGACATAACACTTTCGGCTTGTCCTCCTTGCCCAGAATCATTTCAACGTGAAAGCAACCAAAGCGACACCCACGTTTGCCTTTCACGGCTTTCCTCAGCCAAAGCAACATGTCGTGTTTACATATACATACTTCTTCACGTTGACAGCCAACTATGCACGTTGTACACTCCAGACGTCTCTTTTCCATTCTACACAAAAATGTTTTACGCTAACTGATACCGTAACAGCAACCGTGCAACATGTAAACGAACAACAAAAGCCATGACCAAGCCGAAACCGCACGTAACTCAAAAATAACGACAAAAACAAACAACCACACCCACAACCACAACCACAACCAAAACAACAACCACGACAACAACAACAACAACAACGACAACAACAACAACAACCACCACAACTTTGCCAAGCTCATTGCGAGGAACTTTTTGAAACATGATTTCGTGCATTTGTGAACATGATTCTGGATCACCAAACGTCTGTAATCCTCACAGAATTTTTTCTTCCACTCAAGACCATCTCCCGCAGAACGTTCACTGCGTCGCAGATACTTGGGTCGCAAAGAAGCATAGCATCCGGTCAATGTCAAAACCTTGCCAGCCACGGATCCGCCCAACTTCAAGGCTTCCAATTCGTGTCCATCCGGCTCCGTAGGCACCAAAGGCGCGGATTCATACTGGTGACCACATTCTGATCGCTGACGTTCATTCAGAGGCAGTGGCTGTGTCGGACTGCTCAACTGCTCCGACAAGGCCAATTGAGAATCATACTGAAAACGCTGCACAGCCTCCAAAACACGACGACTCCACCGCTGCAACTCAACGACCAACTCACCATGCTGCACCCGATGAATCAGTTTCCGCAAGCGATCTCCCAGGTCGTGTCCCAGCAAGATAATAAGCATGTGGGGGTGCAAAGAACCACGACCCTGAGTCTCCAACGGGCCGTTCAACGCCACAATATCACCGAAAACACCTCCTTGCAGGGAACTCGCAATGCCATCTTCGAAGGTTGCTGCCACGCCAACCCGAAAACTTCCCTTGGTCAAAGGTGGAAGAATGCCCAACACTTCCTCACAGAACAAATCCATCATCAAGGCAAAGCAACGCGCTTGAGCGACGGGATCGCTCGCGACAATCCGTCGCATAGCAGCTGCGCTGGGCAATTCGGGCATCTCCGCCTCCCAGTCCAAATCAATTTTGCACTCTTCCACTTTGACATTCTGCAGGTGCAATTGAAGTAGCAAGGACGAGCGCATATCTGCGATGTTGGGCGTGACGAACAGATGCGCAGAACCATAATGCCACCCAGCCGCATGTCCACGCAACCGGATCTGGCTGCGGTGCCCTTCCATGCCAATGATGCTCGAAGTTGCCTGAAGCACTCCTCCCAATGCTCGCTTCAAGGCCACATCCACCTGCGGATCTCGCAGCAACTCCCTGAGGTCCGCATTGTCTCCATGCAATGCCATTGCCTTGAGCAATTGGTCCGTGTTGACTTCAGAAATAACACGACAATGTTTGCCAAAGCCACGACGCATCACATGCGCTTTCGTCGCACGCATCAACTGTAATCGACGCTGCACGTCGTACATCACTGGAAGCAACGTCTCCTGCCCGCATACTTGGAACAAAGGCGACCAAACTCAAAAACTGAAACCACCAAAACACAACCACCAAACCATCCTGGGGAAACAGAAAACTCAGCAACAATTGAATAAACCAAATCCAAAGCACTGAAAGCGACCATCTTGGCAACAAGGCATCACCCTCACTGTAATGCAGTTCTTCCCGAAGCAACAAATATCGAAACACTTCTGTTGCATCCATGTTGGCTTCACGCTTCAAAAAAGGCAAGCCATCACCCCATGGAAACAAATCCGGAAACGACATGCCCCAGGTGGCCGGATCAAACATCGACAGCGGTTCGTCTCTGGTCGGAACAACCAACTTGGAAGGTTTGACTTGGAACATAGCTGATTCCACATTCCGCTCATTTTCAGCCGTGCCACGGGCAATCTTCTGAATTCTCCGAATTTTTTGAAGTGTTCGCCTCTCTTGGGCTCCTTCACGACCCAAAAGTTCACCAGGAACAGATGCATCCGGGGCCGGCATTTCATTGTTGATGCGGTTGCGAAGCACATCGGCAGCATCGCTCCTTCGCCGCCCACCCTGTCTCACACAGACCTCCTCCACATCCTTCAACACACGCACCCACTTGTTCTGTTCATCCGCACCATCGTTCAAGCCAACAATGGAAGACATCAAATGACCTGCAATGTTTGCGTGAGTGAGTTTTCCATATTTACTTTCACACACACAAAACAAAATGGTTCCGAAACGCAGACGTTACAAAGCAAAACTCGATATTAACATCGTTTTCGATCGCTTCATTCGGACAGTCCCTATCATGAAGCAATGAATACAACCAAATTCACTTCTGAACCCTGCCTGGTGCATCTAGGCCTTCACGCTGCTTCATTCGGACAGTCCCTACCATGAAGCAATCACCTGCACCTGCAATGTGTGCGCGAGTTTTCCATATTTACTTTCTGCCACACAAAACAAAATGGTTCCGAAAGGCAGACGTTACAAAGCAAAACTCGATATTAACATCGTTTTCGATCGCTTCATTCGGACAGTCCCTACCATGAAGCAATCAATAAAACCAAATTCAATTCAGAACCCTGCCTGGTGCATCTAGGCCTTCACGCTTTTCTTCACTCGCATCGTCCATCTTCTCATCATCCGACGCGTCTTGTCCCTGTGCGTCTGCAGGACCTCGCTGCAGCAACTCCTGCGCCAATGCAGAATCCTCCGCAGTTTCCAGGACACAGCCCTCCAAAAGATCATCACTGCCATCTCCCAGTTCCACCTCCGCATAGAAAGGATTCGTTTTCCTCAAACATTCAACAGCGGCAGTGTACTCATCTCTCGGGGCACGCAACAAAGAAGAGCCCTTGACTGCATCCTTCTGGCTTCCAACCAAAACAAACAAAACTGCATCTTGCATATCAACATCTTTTGGAGGGAGCGTGGTCAGCACTGAAGACGGCTTCGCTTGCGGGAGAAAAATCGAATTCCCTACAAAGCCATGCTGACGTTCCTCACGCGACAAATGCCCGGGCTGCAATACCACAACCTGCATGCACGCCCGTGTCATCGGCAAAAGTCGCTTCGTGGCCGAGGCCAGGCCACGCAATGCGGACAGTTGCTCGCCCATCCAAAGGTCATTGGCCAAGCTGTGCCGAGGCAACGTCAGACTAGATGACATCAACGAGCCCTTGCAGTCACTGCACACCAGGCAAGGATCCTGCAATTGCAGTGACATCCGAACATATTACTAGAACTTCACCCAAACAAAGTCGAGTAATCCGATGCCGTGAACAGAAAATTAGCTACAAACAAGTTGGTATACCGTGATCCCTCAATGAAAGCAACAAACCCGTGCAGTCAGTGGTAAGGGTCCTTCAAGTCCACCGGCATCCGACGCTTGTGTAAGAGCAAATGCTCCCCCTTGCAGTATGGATGTTCAACAGCCGAAGCATGCAGAGCCTCCAAAGGGATATTCGGCCATCTTCGACTGTATCTTTCAACTCCAAGAATTCGACACAAGCGTTCCTGTTGACCACACGGAATCACATCCACCGCACCGTTCTCCAACTCGGTGCTGCCAGCCGGATCTTGGAATAAGATTAACATCTTCAGCTGCTCCCGCCAAAACCTGCGAGCACACACCACGCATGCAGTTTCAAAGCGACCTCCTTGCTCGGGCTGTCGAAGCCTTTCATCAGCATTCTCCATGAGGCGACGTTGCGAAGCAAAGCTGGTGACCTGATGCATCACTTCATCAAAACATCATCAGCAAATTTCACTACCATGATATCTCGCATCAAACATGTTACACTACCCTACTCCGATCGTGCTAACAGAAATACAAAACGCAAAAAACTCAGTACCACGACGCCGTGAATTAAAACTATTATCTCCGTTTATGATACAAATTCCACACAAATAGCTACAAAAAGCTCAGCACCCCGATCCCACAAAAGGTCAGCGCAGACAAGAAACTGTGGGGCCCAGGTGTGTCAATAGTCCAATGACCTTCTTACGATACTCGATGAGCACACGGCTGGCATCGGCACCTCCACTGTGTTTCTCCACTAAATGTTCCAAAAACTCTTTCTGTCCGCCAGTTCCAAAATTGCACAGTCTGCACTGGTAACGCTCCAGCGGATTCTGAACATCATCATCATCATAAGACCATAACACAAGGCGAGACAGCGCTTCACCAATAGCAGTGATAGCTGGACTGCAGTCCAACATCTGCGCAACTTCACGCAGCTTGCTCTCAAACTTCATATTCACATTTTCCAACACAGCAAATGCTTTCTTGGCAACTTGCAAATTCTCTGGCAAGGCCTCCATAGCAATGCCCGCAGCAACATCCATCTCCACATCTGCCTCCTCAGCAACTTCCACACATGAAGAGCCAGTGCTGTCAGGAACAACTGCATTACCATCCCCTTCCACATCCACCTCCGGAACACATTCCACAACAGAAGTGCCAGCGCCGAAAAGGATGGCACTCAATGGCACAAAAGCGGCCTTGCAAAGAGTTCCTTCAGTCCACCCAGGAATCGACTGCATCAAGTTCCGTTCCGTGTCGGATCTCCATTTGATACCATTCTCTGCATCATCCGAAGCTTCCAAACAATCCAACTTCAACTCCTTGATGTTGTCCACATCGCCAGGGAATGCAGCTTTCATGGAACGACAGCGCACCTTCTTCTCCTTCTCCAAATACTCCGACACCCGCTTGAACAGCACACCGTCTTCATCTGAAGTCGGCAACCGCAAGCACTGCTGCACTTCCTGCCATTGTCGTATATCCAGTTCCAATTGAACGACAACCGGAGACACGCCGCTCCTGCACACACGATGTCATAATCAGTATGCAATTCCTCGAGATCTCACGGACAGCCCCTACAGAAACCTCGAGAAGATATCTCTGATGATCTCGAGATATATTGGCTACCATGATCACGCGCATGATGTATAAATAACATACATTATCTCATTCATCGTGCAAACAAAAAAAAGCTCGGTACCATTATGCTTTACATGAGCAATTCTGGAGATCTCACGGACAGCCCCTACAGAGACCTCAAGAGATGCAACAAATGTTGAAGATATTTGTTTGTCGATCCTTGGTATTTCACAAACATGATGCCATCTATGACATATGTCATGTCATTTTATTATGGACATTTCCCCATAAATGGGACAAAACAACTCGGTACCATGATGCCGTGTATAACACATGATAATTCATTTTAGCATGCAAATACCCACATAAATTGCCAAAAAAAACTCGGTACCATGATGTTGTTATTCGCAAAGGTGACAAAGGTAAGAAAAGTACACAAAACACACAACAACGACACGCACTCGTCCTGGAATCACGGAGTTCTCCGACCGTCACTGGATCGTGACGTGAGCGCATACCTTGCAATGCAGGCGTCTGGCGAGGATGAAGTAACTGCGTCAGCAAAAGCCAAGCAAACTGTAAACACTTCTTGTTCCCATAGCGAGCAGATGGAAAACATTCGGACCAATAGCACACCTCCACGTCCTGGTCAAATCTTTCCCAACCATATCTCCGCATCAGGCATCGCAGGTACGTCGCGTCTGCAGCATCCAACTTACCTCGACGCCGGCGCACCTCGCCCTCATCATCCACCACCAACGCTTTCGTGCCCCACAGGATGCCAAGGACCACCTGCAAGCAACGCAAAGACCAAACAACCGCGAACCGGCAAGACACGACAAAAAAAACTAACGCAGGCCATACAATAGTTTCGACAACCACTCACCTCCACCACATTGTCACGATCCTCATAACCACCAGAACTGTCCCATTCACAAGCAGCTGTAAGTGTGTGGACATCCCACAAACGGCTCGCCACTTCCAACATGTCCGCGTCGATGGTGAACCCCACCAAACGACACCATTGAAGTCGTCTTTCTTCCGATACACTCAGCAAAACACAGGACAACAATGCCACGACCTGATGCCGCAGCAAATGCTCCATGCCAATGGAGGCGAAGTAACCTGGTAAATCCAATAAATCAACAGAATCCGTGACAGCTTTGCTGGGCCACGATTGCTGCACTTCATCGAAAGTAGCAAGAAGCGGCAACGTCGCATCCACCACACGAGCATCCAAAGAAGCAAGCGAAAGATGCAATCCCTCCACCTGACCCATGGTCTTGTCGGCCAAAACCGCTAAAATACGCATGCGATCTTTTTGTTCTGGAACAGCATCTCGAAGCAATGTAGTATCAGGCGCCGAAGGACTTTCCAAACATCGTTTCAGCCAGCCCCACAAGACACTTGCACCAGATGCAAGGGTATCATCGTGACACGGCTCCTGCTAAAAAAAAAAAAAAAAAAACAGCCGCACTTGACGTTTTTGCAATGCCGACAGTCTACAATTCAATTCTCGAAATCTCACAAACTTGCACCCAACCTCCATGGAAGTCGCCAAGACTTTCTTCAACGAATTGCGCAGCTCTGCTACAGGCAGCCAAGCGTTGCCCGATCGTGTCTCCACACCAGCCGCAGTAGCCAGGACTCGAAGCTCGTCTCTTCCTATTCCGTACAAAGCACGACTGAGCCACTCCTCACCCTCTGAAACAGCTCCAAGGTGAAGTTCTTCCAATTTGGCAGCCGATGCTTCTTCCACCTACAGCATGGAACACACCGCCACCACAAAACAACCATCACCCTACAAATTTTTCCCGCTGCTCATGCATATCAATGAAAACATAACACATAGATCCACTACATCACAAACGAACATGGGCATGATCACTATGCAATTCTCAAGATCTCACGGACAGCCCCTACAGAGACCTAAAGAGATGCAACAAATGTTGAAGATATTTGTTTGTCGATCCCTGGTATGTCACAAACATGATGCCATGTCTCACAAACATGCGAATTCGGTCACAAAAACAACTCATGTCACAACACATTTTTTGGTTGAACCCAACCTCCGTGGAGGGTTCCAAGACTTTCATCAACGAGTTGCGCAGCTCTGCTACAGGCAGCCAATTCCGGTTGGAATGTGTCTGCACACCACCCGCAGTAGCCAGGACTCGAATCTCCTCTTTTCGCATTTCGTACAAGGCACGACTGAGCCACTCCTTGCCCTGTGAAACAGCGCCAAGGCGAAGTTCTTCCAATTTGGCAGCCGATG